AGCCTCTGAGCTGTGTCCTAAGCTCATTCTCTCCTTTGGGTTCCACAGTCTGATGAGACCTTCAAGCATGTAGCTCATCTGGCAGTATATCATCTTCCTCTGGTGCTTTCAAGACTTTACTTTGTTTGACTCTTATCCAGTTTTCATGATCTGCCTGCAAAGCATGTTTTTTCTCAAAAACATCTCGCTTGGAGTTAACGGAACTTAATGAATCTGTAAATTCATGCTGTTCACCAAATAGGAGAATTTTTTTTCAAATAAGTTTTTGCTTTATTTTTTTTTTTTTCTGTATTGAAGATAATAACTATCCACATGCCAGAAACTTACTGATTGCTCCTAAATCTCTGAAACTTTTTCTCCTTCTTTTCAGAAAATATTTTTCTGTGTGGCTGTTTGATATGTTTAATTCATTTTCATTTTTGCTATTTTTCTTGCTTCTATCAATATTACGTATTGAAATTTTAATATTGGATGTCTCATAATTCTGAAATTTCAATTGTGTTTTCTTAACAATGATTTTAAAAAAGAAATAGAGCTTTTGCAAACAGGGAGGGAAAAATGGCTAGAGAGAGAGGAGGAGAAGAGGGCAAAAAGATGAGTGGAAGTGTGTTATAGGCATGTAAAAGTTTCCCATATTGAATAAGATCATTATCTATTGCAAAAATGTGCTAATAAAAACAATGGTTTTTAGTTTTCTTATTTTTTAATTAAACATGATAGTGTTTTCCTTTATGTCATCAAGCGCAGGCTTGATGGCCATTTAAAACATCTTTTCTGATAATTCACAATGCAGATCTTAGCTGGTTTATTGTCTGTTGATCGTCTTTTCCCTTTAGACTATAACCAGCTTTCATGGTTTTACACTATTTCAGGAATTTTGATTTCATATTGGTCCACCTGATTATTATGAATAGATTCTGAATTCAGTTATATTGCTCCCAGAATGATGATGTGTTCTTTTTTTCTAAGTAACTTCTAGCTTAGAGGGATCTGCTAACTGCTAAGACTTTAGTGAGCTGTGGCTCAGAATTCTCCTAGATGCTCAGCATTAGCTGTAAGCTGCTTTAAACTGGCCACTTCCTAGCGGGTTCAAGGATGGGATTGGGCTGAGTTTATGTAAGTATCTAAGGGCTCCTATTCTTAGTTTTCTCTTTTACGTATTTTGTCCCCCTTCGGTCTCTGGTAACTTAGGTTGTCCCATTACTACTTTACCTGGTTTCTGAAACATCTTCCAATCATCTCATTGCCGTGGTCATTAATGCTACTGCTCTTTCCTTCATGGCCTTTCATGTACCTTGTACCCACAGAAAGGAAGACTTCATTTTGGTCAGTTGTTCCATTTGAGTCTCTTCCATAACTTGGGTATTTATCAGGTTTTTATAGGAGAAGGATAACACTAGAGGATCACTGTTATATACTGCAAATGGAAGCACAAAGTGGTACTTCAAAAACATTATTCATTAAGCACCTGCCTTGAAAGCAGGCGGTCGTGAGTTCGATCCCCAGTACAGACAAAAAGGAAAAAAAAAACATTATTCATTTCATGAAATTCTGTTAAAATTCCTTTAATAGACTCAAATCATGTGTAGAACATAACTTAGCTTTTCTGCCTTCTTCTCTCAGACTCCAGTCACATGACTGTCTTTCAGATCCTTGAGCATACAAAATTATTCTTATTTCAATTTCTTGTGAAAAATTCTCTTATTTTCTTCCCTCTCCTCTCCTTCTCTGCCCTTCCATTCTCTTCACTTTCTTCCTGTTATGGCTTCTGTATAGATGTCCCCCCAAAGCCTCATGAGGTCATCACTGAGGCTTTTTCACAGGTGGCTGGATCTAGAGTGTGTGATGCTGGGATTGGCTCACGGTGCAAAGCTAGGCTCAAGGGCACTAGGATTAAATGTGTGGGTGCTGCCCACCCTAAGTAGCCTTTATAAGATGTAAGAGATAAAAAGAGCTATTTTGCTTTACTACCTTCTGCCTGCCATCTTTTCTATGCCTCCCTGCTGTGCCACCCTGCCTTGGAGTAAGCCAAATATGGACTGAAACCTCCTCAACCTGTGAGTTAAATCAATCTTTCTTCCTTTAATATATGAGTGTTGGATGGTTTTTCTCACCAAGGAGTCAAAAGTAACTAAAATACTTCCTTCTTTCCTTCCTTCCTTCCTTCCTTCCTTCCTTCCTTCCTTCCTTCCTTCCGTATGTCTGTCCTCTTCCCTCCCTGCAGCTCACCTAGCCTTGGTCCTCCTCTCTCTTTCTCCCTCCTTTTCTGCCTCTCCCTCTCTTTATTTCCTTCCTTCTTCACTTCTTCCTTTCCCTCCTACCTTCCTCCCTCCATTCTTTCTCTTCTTCCTTCCTTCCTGGATAATCTTCCTCTATATATTTGAATCTTCTAAATGCTGATATTTTTGCTACCATTATGTGACATTTACCTAGTCATTGTTTCATTTTTGCTATTAAGAAAGTAAGATCACTAATAAAGGTAAACCAGGTGTTGTAGTGAGAGTTTCCAAGGGAATGGATTTAATGCAGGACACATGATTTATAGAGTTATTTTATAATATTTACCCAAAGAGTCAAATGCAAAAGAGTGCAGGAGATTAGTCCATACTACAGAGACACGAAGAATCCAGCTGAGGGCCTGGATCCCACAGCAATGTCCCCCACAAGCACAAGCTGGAGGCCTAGAGCCCACGATGTGTGATGCAAGTCTGTATCATGCATCTGCATTGGGAAGGCCCCAAATGTCAGTAGTGAATGCTAGAAAGTCTGTGCCACCAGGCAAGGGATTGGCACTGGAGTCACGAAGCAGTGCTCAAAGAACCAAAGCTCCCGAGAAAAGAATCATAGGCATCCTTAGTGACAGCAAGGACCCACACTTATTCAATGATGAGGAAAGACAAGTTCATATCAGGAAAGCCAGCACAACAAACTTCTCCAAGAAAATCAACAGGACACTGTCTTCCCCTCCAGTTCTGCCTTTATGCTATGGATGACAATCCTCAGGTGGCCCTTCCACACCCAGCCCTAGGCTGATGCATAATAAACGTTGATAAGTTTACCTTATCAGGCTGATAGTTCATATTCTGACCGCTAAAAAATAACTCAAGGAATTAAGTTTGCCGTTGAAATGCAATGTTCTCAGCAGAAGTCCAGTGATTTTCAATAAGCATTCCCCAAGACAAATGGTAGTTAGGATTTTCTTCAGTTTTGAACAAATGCCATGGAGAACTTATGATTACATTAAGAATACAAAGTGGTAAAATAGAAAATGTATAAAACAATTTAAAAGGATACCTCTCCAGGTACTTATTGGAGATAATTTTTTTTTTACCTAGTTAACAAATCACCACTATTATTTTTGCCATTCAAATACCATTTTTGCTAAATTTGCTTGAATTTCAAGTTAGTCAAAATGCTTTTTCTGCAGCAAACTATGAATGTACATCCCCAACTGTACTTGCCTTATTGAATTGAAGTTACATGCATGTGTAGCATTTCCTCTAGAATCCAAACTTTCTCAGAACAATGACTGTGTCTCAGCCACCTTTGTATCCCTCACAAGGAGTTGAGTGCTACCTTAGAGCAGATATCCCAGATATATGTGCAAATTATTGATCTTTATGAGTGGATAGAATACTAGTGTGGGGTCCATTTTTTTCCTCTAAAGATGGCTGGTTCCAAGCAGAATATAGTGAGTCTTCTTAAATTTTTGTTGGTTTTATTTTAAAGGAAAAAAATTTCAAGCACACTGGCTTCAGCTATTAGCAAGCAAGGAGCATTCTTACCAAGATTTCACTGAATATAGAATATTCAGCCTTTCACAATTGTACTCATGAAATAAATGTCATGGATTTACATGTTCAACCTGGTAATTCTTCATTAAGTTGGGTTTCCCTTTAATCCTAAAATCATTACCATGATCATTACAATACAAAAATACTACTACATTAGAGGTCCAACATTTAGAGCAACCACTGTGCTGGCTGTTGTCTGATATCATATCTCAAATGATATATCTGTCCATTCATGCAGAAACCAAATACTCATGAGCTAACAAGTAACTGAACACAAACTTTAATTTGCCTTCTCCAGAAGTAAATCTAAATTAATAAACACACTACCTCATAGTGAGTTGTAGAAACTTAAATTTTAAGCTACTTGGTCAAATTTAAATACAATATACAAGACTGCTTGTTTTTGTGAAATAAAATTAGTTAACATATAACTACCGAATAATCTACTGCTAATAGAACTAGAAAGTAAAATTATATATTCCATAAAATAAATTCTGTAACTTTCTTGAGGAATCTAAATTCATGATAGTGAAGAATCAAACTTTCTTGGGTTTATTCAGGCATCTACCAGTAGATGATATTATTCTACAGTTCTGAGTTCTAATAATGAATCCTCTGTCTTATTGTAAAGCACTAACTATGTTCTGATGTCATCAATAAAGATAACTTTAGGCATCATATTTATAATTATTTGGGGTTATATTCTATATTCTTCTAATTCTCAGAAACTGATAATGAATTCCTATAATTTATACCTATCCCTTACCTATCAGCATATTTGATAATCAGTTAAACAGTAAAAGCTATGTATGTTAATAGTTTCATTAGTACTGTTAAAGCTAGTCTGAAAAGTTCAATCTCCCAAATACTTCTCAGAGTTTAAATCAAAGTAACAAATGCACAATTAACCTGAACAGAGGAAGAATGCCTACTCAGCACCTTAGAAAATGGTCCAGTTGAGTTATGAGTCATCTCATTTTGCAAAGTAGCAATAAAAATAAGCCTTTCGTTTTGCAGAGGTACCATTGGCATTTACAGAAGATGATTAAAATAAAGAAGAAGAATAACTTTTGCATTTTATCAGAATGGAGGTATTTTATCTTGCCCATGAATTTTTGCCTTCCAGATTTTATCGATCAAAGAAATGTCTCCAGAAATTGTCAAGGGTATACTAATTCTACAGGGACTCCCAGGACTGTGACTTACCTTATGAAAGTTTCTGAAATAAGCTGCCTTTTCATCTGGAAATTTTTCTAACCGTCTTGGTCCCTTGCTGGAAGCTTTCTTGAAAACCAACCAGCATCTTCTGAAAATCTGAAAGTAAATAAAGGAATTCTATTATCCTTTTTACATGAAGTTTCTTCATACAGGAACTTTACATATTGTTAGCTCACTGAAAATAAGTTCATTAAAGTGATTTACTTTATAGAATAATTTTGCCATTAAATAATGTTACTAATTAGTACCATAGCAAATTAACAATTATATTTTAAATAAAATGAATTTTTGCGAATAGATTGTGTTATAAGATTTTCAATGTGTTGACTTCAATAAGCTAATGTAAGTAAACCATCTGTGTCGGAACTACATATAGTACATGGCATTTATTCTCATCTTCTTCATGCCAGACAATTCTCTGTTTTCCATGCAGGCACAATAGCAGTTTAACAAGGTTAAGGGACACTGTTGGTTTTCTAATGCTGAAGAAAGATCACATTTAAAAATTAACTTGTTTTGCAGATTTTAGTGTGTTTAATAGATGCTTTGTGTTAATTTAGAAATAATACGAAAAATGTTTTTGCAATGGGCACATCTGTCTCTTTCTATTTTTATAGTCCCCAGTATTTATGAAATACTTAGGTATAATGAAGTTCACAGTTACTGGATTAAACAAGTATTTTTTCATTTTAATATCAAATTAGAAATAATGTCAGAATTTGAACATACATCTCTTAACTTTGTTAAGAATATGACTTCTCATTACAAAATAGAAACCACTATTCTGCATTTCAATTCTAATTACAAAATAGAAACCACTTATATTTTATGAAACTAATGAACATTAGACTTTTGGATTGTCTTTCACCTTATTCCTATCGTGTCACAAGCCTTTGCAAGTATATTTGAAGTTTATGGTACTAGAATGAAGCTTTCTTTGCAGAAATTAAACAAATCTGGGAATACAAATTAACCACACTTTTACATTTCAAAATTTAGCACAAGGTTTGCTGCTGTGTAATTTTTTCATAGCATAGAAATGAGAAAATTCACCAAAAGAAATTTGAGGAAATTAGGTCACTATATTTATCTTCTACACTTCTATTTAAATTGCAAAGTTGTACTGGTATGGTTTCTGTTCAGTAAAGAACAGATAATGTGATCCTTTTGAATTATTTTTTTTCTATGCATTGGTTTTCGGTGGCAGCAAAATTGCTTTTCCTGTGTTAAAGGATACTTTTAGAGCAATCACTTATCATTAGCAAAGCAGAATAACAATGCAAAAATGTACACTATCTTGCTGTCTTTTTTAGACCTTCTCTACAACTGGAAATGCCCCACATAAACGAACATGACTGTCCTTTCTGCCTGGAATCAGATATATTTTCCCTTTCAAATAACTATTCATGATTCACCTGGAAATCAGGTGCTGTTTATTCCTTTAGAGTTCCTAGCATTCTTTCATAAACTTGATTTAATTGCATGCTGTGTCTGGTTAGTTATTTATCCCTTACTGATCTCTGCCTCCAAAGTGAGACAAAATGTTAAAATGTTGAATATATGATATAAATATATAGTTTAATTCATTTGTGTATGAATTTTCTTAGGGTTGTAGAATTCTGATTTTTAAACTTATAAATGTTATATTTTAAGTGAAAGCAGATTCAGAGTGAGCTAAACATAGGCCAGAAAGCCTAAGTGCCCCCATTTAGGCACTCAATATTGTTGTAGGATAACCCTAATAACAAATAATGAGAAATGAGAGATTTAGTGTTTTTATAGTAATTCATCACTTTATTATTACATAACAGACGTAAGCGGATATAGGTAAGACTGATTTCTAAAGACTTGAGGTAAAACATTATTTATAGTGAGGCCCTTAGTTTATTTTTTGGAAGAGTTAGTTCCATGATAATTAACCAAATTTCTTTAACATTAAGAGCTTACATATGATGGTACATTTAATGCTCAGGCATTAACAATGGTAAAGGGCTGAAGTAGCTGATAAAAACACTAACCAAACTAAGTTTTATTCGGCTTTTTTCCAAGACTTTTTCCTGTCTTCCATGTTGAGATTCAATCCAGGGTTAGAAGGAGCATTTCTGTGCCCGAGCTCCTTAGTCTCTTCTGATCTTTGAGTAGTTTTCAGTATTTGTTTTTCATTATCTACAAAGTCTTGCAGGCTACAGACAGGTATTTTATAAATTGTTCTTCAATTTCTGTTGTTTCAATTAAGTTATTAAAAAATTCAATAAAAATCACAGTGAAATGAACCCAACATGTTTATGAGCTCATGTTTATGAGCTATTTATATATTGATCTGATCTCCATTTGACTTTTTAAACAAAATAAACAAGTAATTATTTAATAAATGCAAATTTATTTCCCCTTTGATGCAATTTTTAAAACTATCGCTTTTAAGAGGTAAATAATGAAAAATGTCTCAGTGTGGATAATTTTCAAGTGTCATTCTGTGTAAATGTGAAATCAAATTAAGTGTGAGTAAGGGCATTAAATGCCACATCCACTTTGGGAGGATAAAATAAGCGGAAATAAGAAGACATTGCCTTTGTGTCCTTTCATGAAATCAGATTTTATGAGTGTACTATGATCCGGTTTAGATCCTAGAACTGACATCTTCTGTAAGTATGTTGGAAAACGTCCAGAGCATAAAGACTGACTTCCTGAGACCAGGAAATCACCCCGAGGAAAGAAAAAAAATATTAAGAATAGGTTTCATTTTGATTATAAATGAAAGAAATAGGTTCCTTCTTTTCATTTATGGCCCTTCAGAATGAGAAGTAAATTAATGACCCTCATTAGCAGAACAGGAAGAAACCCCAGACTCCTCAGGATCATTTGAAGTTGCAGAGGCCATTTGACTGGTTTGAAAGAGAAATTAGTACTGGCGAGAAGATTCCTCTTTTCTGTGTCTTTTGGTTGGCAGAGGACAGTGCTCCTGCCTTTCATGGTTTCTGGGTACTGCTCCTCTCTATTCTGGGGGACCAATTTCATCTTCTACTCAGAGTCCTCTTCTAAACATGTTGGTTTTCTCACAAACTGGCTACTGGTCAACTCTCAAATTACCCTTTTAGAAAATTCCATGTTGCTGACAGGGCTCCACAAAGCCCCAGAATCCCCAGCTGGTCCACACCCTCATTTTCTACTGCATTAAACAACCAGCCAGCTTATAATTAAATACCTTCTTAATCCCCTTCCATCTGATGAAAACCCTTTTACCACATGGCAATCTCTTGCTTTAAGTGCTTTCTCCCTTTCAAGGTGATTTTACACAAAAGACATTCTTTTTTACGTTTAAGACTTACTGTGAAGTAAATGGCAGATTTCTTGGCTTTAATCCATCGCTATAATTATGTTATTTAGCCAGGAGTCATTCACAAGCTTTAACCTACCTAAAAGTTGGATTTAATGGGCCTGTTCCATCACAAGCTATTGACCTAATGAACCTTGCACTTCAAATAGGGTTTTGGTTGGAAACTTGAAAGAACTTCTGAGCATCAGAATTGTCAAACCTGAGAGTTCATTGCACGAAAGAGTGTCTCGAGATTTTAAAACATAGAAGAAACCAGCATCATAAAGTGGATTATATTTGCATTTCCTTCTAAAAACAGCACACTACACAAATGATACCTTGGGAGTTTAGAATTCAATTATTCTTAACTATGTATCAGGTAAACATATAATGCAATGAATAAACAAACAAGTAAACCACTATTGCATGCAAGGATAGTTATTACAGGAATATACTGAGTGATTTCAATGACTTAGTCCTCAGACTATCCTCTGACAAAATATATATCGTACAATTAAAAAACATTTCTTCTTTGCAAAAAGTAACCATTACACAAGGTTAAGTTTAATGCACTAATGTGTGCAGATTTAGCTATCTTTTCAATATAGAGATGAAGTTTAGTATCTTTCAATATTGCCTTATGCGTATTTGCAGTTATATAATAGTACCTCAGTTGACAAACTTAATTTGGAAATGATGGCCATATTTGTGCTTGTGTGGGAAAGTCTGCCACGGCTGTGGCTGCAGACCAAATTGTGTTCAGACAAAAGCATTGGTGACTGACGTACCACTGTGTAAACTATCACAGGAGTTGACAACTTTGTTAGCACCAGGACTAGATAAATTTTTGATGCATGAGATAGAGGTGGAATGGGTGTGAGCTTTGGATGAGTCAGATGTGTACAACCCAGATGCCTGAAATGTCCTGCAGTTTACAATAGAGCTCTAGATCCTTTGAGAATACAGGTCCCTGAGGACCTGAGGAGGGGGATCTCAGGCAGTAACGGCCACTGGGGTGATGAGAAGGAGCTGTAAACACTAAGGAAGTTGGTTTCCCATCACCCCAGCTGACATGTGTGACCCATATTACTACAATGCCAGAATCCCTCTTGTTCCTGCATTCATTTATACCTGCATTCAAAAAGTATTTGAAAGTTCCATAGATACAGTACCTAAAATTAATTATAATAATAAAGAACAAGGTTTTACCCTTATTGACACAAAATTCCTGCCTCATGAAATTTTCTTTTCAAAGGAAAGACAAGTGATAGCACATAAGTAAGTGTAATTGTGAGCAGCCTCTGAGGACACTACATGCTGCAGAGAGAGACTTATAGCACAGTGAGGGAGAGGGAAATTCCAAATGAGGTCGAGGAAGACTCACACACACCAGGACATTAATCACAGAGTTATAGGGAACCAAAGGATGAGTGATCCAGACATGTAGGCAAAGGGATTTATTGAGAGAACTGCAAGTGTGAATCTCTTATGTGGCATAAGAGGAAGAATCCAGTTTCAGAAGCATTAGTGCTAGGTCCTTAAAATGGAGGCAGGAGGGCATTGTTAAACAGGTCTCTGGCACATCCACAACTAACTCTGACTGTGTGTGTGTGTGCGCGCGCGCGCGTGTGCGTGTTTCATGCATTGGGAGAGATGGACCCCAAGGCCTTCACGCTGAGCTATATAAATTCCCAGCAATTTTTAAATTTTTATTTTGCATCACTGTCTTGTCAAATTGCTGTTACCCAGGTTGGACTCAAACCTGTGATCTTCCTGTTGCAGC